CCTTCAGCCAAACAGTTCCTATGTCAGCAGAAGCTTGAGGTACAGAAGCAAAATAGGCAGTCTAACCATACCTTACACTGCGCATCAGAAAGAATGCCCCCTCCCATCTCTCTCTCTTGTCACCCCCATATATTAATGTCCTTGGGGGAAACTCTCTTGAGAGTTCCTGTAAAATGTGAAATACAGAGGGTGAGTACAAAATCTAAAACTTCCTTGATTATAATATAAACTTGATGCTGCTTTTTTGTTAATCGTAGTTAAAATATCAGGCATCATCTGTGTGAATGCAAAGAGCCTCTATGGAACTCCCCCCTCCCCCCCCGTTAGGCAAATCTCATGGTGCTCTTAAAATCTATACCAAGGCCTGGTTTTTGGACCAGGAGATAATATGGTAATCAAAACTCTCAAATGTTTAAGTTTTAATTTTTCCATGAAAGTTTTCCCAAATGACACTGATATGGGAGAGTAATCTCCAGTTTATATACTTCTTCTGGGAACACAGTAAAAAAAGAGAGACCTCAGAACTCATAACTTGACCACTCTTGTTTTATATATGCTACCCACTCCCATTTTGTGGTTTTCCTCTAGGTGGCTTAGAAATACAAAACTCTAAAAGATCTTAGTAAAAAGAAATATTTCAATCCCCATTTTAAACTATAACAGGGAAGAGCCAGCCTCAACTCCAATGGGCAAGGTGTTCTACAATTTAGCCTCTAGCACAGAAAAAGCAGGATTAGCTGTTGATGTAAGCATGTCTGTGGTAGGACCTGCTAAAGCTGTCCCAGTGAAGATCTAAGAACATGCAGTAACTTGGATATGTGAAGGTGGTCCTGCAAGTAATCTAGACCCAAGCTCTGTAAGATCAGAACAAGAACCTTGATTTGAACCCAGAAAGCAACCACTAACCTTTGCAGCTATTTCAACAAGGGGTGTTGGGGCACATTCATCTCCTCTGCTACCACATTCTTAGCCAAGTGCAAATTCTGGGCTGTCTTTAATTAATTGAAGCACCATTAATTAATTAAACGACCCAATTTCTCATGACTTAAGTCTATCTTCAAAGGCCACTGCACAAAAAACTGCAGACTTTTAAACTAGGGAAGAATTCATTCCTTGCCGTTGATAACTGTGGTAGAATTTTTATGGCTTTCTTTGCTAATACCATGAACTTAAATCACTACATGTCATACACAAATTATTTGGATTTCCAAAATACTTGCTTCTGAAATGTGAGAAATGACTCAAACATCAGTAAAATGTGTGGTTTTCCAAAAAGCCCTTTTCCCAGGCTCTCAAACGCCAACTCAACATTGTAGTCTCAATGGGAAATGTAAAACGAGTGAGCACAAAATGAGGTATTCTCTCCGAAAATAAAAATATGAACGCTTTTGATGCTCCTCACAATTGTTTTCTCATTGACTGCTGTGTCAAATCTTTCCTAAAGTTATGACTTGCAACAAATTTCAAGATAATTGCCCCAAAGTCCATACTTTCTTTAGGCATTATTTTAAGGAGTGCTATATAAAGTAGTAGTACATTTTTTAAAAAGTCTATTTATAGATTAACATGGTGCTAGAAATAAATAGCTAGCTCATACATTTTTAGATCAGAAACATTTATGTAAATTCAAGAACAATTCATGTAACTAAACAACATATACATACCATTCCCTCTTACATTTTCTTAAATAAATATAAACTATATTATATTGGCCTCCAAGAATGCAACATAGCTTTCCTGTCTCAACTGTTCCTTTTTTGAAAGACACAGATTATAGTGGCAGAAGAAAGAAGGGGAAAGGTAGAATTCTGCTCAAGTAGAAACCACTGATTATACATGTTTCATATTCCTTCTTTTCTTTTTGTATTTTCTGAAGTGTCAAAACACAGTAATGGCACAAAACAAGCAAATTACGCAAGTTTCTTGCATTAGCACAGATTTACTTCTGAAGTTTGGTCTTCTCTAAACCTCAATGAAACCTGTTGTAAATTGGTACTGCTTAAAAATGCTGGAATTAAATGAATCATATTCTTCTAAAACAAAATGTGAACAAAATAGCATTGTTTATTAAATTTATATTCTGTGTTTCCTCTAACAAGCTCAAACCAGTGAATGTGATTTACCTGCTCAACATTATCTTCACAAGAACTCAATGAGGTAAGCAAAAATTAAGGCTGAAAGTTCACTCTGTGAATTTTGTGGCTGAGTGTCATTTGAATTAGTCCTCACCCAATGCTCTAACCACAAAACAGTAGGTTTTTGCTTTTTATACTCTGTGCAGGTAGTCCTCAACTTACGATGGCAATTTCCTTTGCTAACCGATGTGGTGGTAAAGCATGACTGCATTGCTTAGCAACGGCAATCCCTGCAGTCCCAGTTGTCGTTGTTAACCAAATCCCATGGTCATTAGATGAGGCAACTTCCTGCCAGCTTTCTACAACCAAGTCAGTGGGGAAGCCGGCAGGAAATTGCAAGTCCCAGGCAGCTTGCAAAGCAGGCCAGCACAGGCAGCTTGCAAATAGGCCAGCAGGCAGGTAAGTGGCTGCTGCTGGGTGGGGGAGGGTGCGAGGGGGTGTATGAGGGTATGAGGGAGGTGTGGCAAGGCTCGGGGAAGGGGTGCAGGGGTGCAAGGGAGAATGTGAGGGTGGTGTAGTGAGGCTTAGGGAAGGTTTGCAAGGGTGTGAGGGGTGTGTGGCAAGGCCCAGGAAGGATGTGTGGGGATGTGTGAGTGGCCAGCATGGCATGGGTGCAGAAGGGCTGGGGAAAGCTGTGCGGGTGGGGGAGACTTACCCCAGTGACTTGCAACCTTCCCTGCCAGCTTCCCCACTGACTTTTGGGGGAAGCTCGCAGGGAAGGTCACAAATGGCAATCGTGATTGTGGGGCGCTGCAACCGATCGTGTGAGCCAATTGCCAAGCACCCAGACTGTGATCACATGACCACAGGGGTGCTGGGATGGCCGGGACTCCAAGAACTGGTCATAAACACTATTTGTTCAGCGCCGTTGTAACTTCAAACAGTCACTGAACAAATGGTGTAAGTCAAGGACTACCTGTTGTATTGCCCCCAAATGACATGAAATACTGATTCTTGCACAGATCCCAGAAGAAAAAAAAATATGTAGACATTTACTACTTGCTGTATTGCAGAAAGGGAATAGAGTTATAAATCTTACATCAGAGAGTTAAAAGTTTAAAAGAGTACAAGCCCACAGACTTTTTAATGGATGATGAATGTGAGGGTGCTGGGTGCTTGGCAACTGGCTCACACTGTTGCCCATGTGTGCCAACATTGCAAAATATCCTTGTTTCACAAAAGGAACACATTCAATATTTCTATCTTTATACTTTATCCTGTCTAATAACAAACTTGAATAATCCAGTGCTGCTTCATTTGAAAGCAAAACAGAATCACTTAGCTGTTCTGAGTAGTCACTCAAAGAGGGTATTAATTAAATCAACTAATTAATTAAATGAGTGATTTCTGCATATGAAGAATGTAGTGGCAATTTGAGCAAAGTTGAATTAAATAAAAACAAAAACAGAGGCCATATAGTGTGTGAGTAGAAAATATGCAAACGATGCATTCCATCCTATTCTTATCTGTTACTTATTTAGTAAGTTACAGGTAGTCCTCGCTTAATGATGGTAATTGGGACCAGCAACTTCGTCACACTGACTTTCAACAGCAGTTGCAGCAGTTCCAGTTGCCATTGTTAGGCGAATCTCGTGTGATTGCAGTTTCCCATGGTCATGCAATTGCCATTTGCAATCTGCTGCCAGCTTCCCTATTGACTTTGCTTGTTGGAAGCCAGTAGTGAAGGTCACAAATGGCAATCACGTAACCATGGGACGCTGAGACCATCATAATTGTGAGCTGGTTGCCAAGCACCCGAATTGCAATCACGTGACTGTGGGGACGCTGCGACAGCCACAAGTATGAGGAATGGTTGTAAGTTCCCTTTTTCAGTGGTGTTGTAACTTCGAATTGACACTGAATGAGTGGTTGCTGAATGAGGAATACCTGAAGTTAGTTATTTCTAAAATTTCTATGCAGCTTCATTCCAGATTAGCTGTAAATGACTTACAAGACAAAGCAATGCATTAAAAATAACAGAAAAACACAGGAAACGAAAACCAATGTTATATTAAATATGCCATCCATCAGGAATTTGTAGTATTACATCTGCAGAGTACCAGACATTTTTCTTTTTTTAGATTTACTGAAACCAAACACTGGAAACTGTTTGGAGTTGGGTGGCATACAGTAAACTCTAACAAATTGAGAATCAATCATTTCTCATGTAGTGCTGCTACTTGTCTTTATAAATCAGAGGTGTATTTTTACTTTTTTTAAACTAATTTCCCACTGACATTCTAAAAGTTGTTTTAAATTAATAAAAATGCTGTTTTACATTTTTAAAAAGTTGTTTTAGATTAATAAAAATGCTACCAACCTGAAGTACATCTCCAAGATCTGCAGTGCTAATATCTGGATCTTCAGTGGTGTTAAAAGGAACTGGGGTGATTCTCACAAGGGTAAGCACTCTAGGCTCTGGATATCTCCATAACATCATTCCTGGATCATCCTCAGTTTCATTGTAAAACACAACTTCATAGGCCCCAGGTAGTTTTTGTGTATCTATTAAATTGAGGTAGAATGGTGAAAGAACAATATTTTACCTAAAGAAGAGAATGTCCTGGTCTATCAGAACAATACAGTTAAAAACAAATTAAAAGAAGGGAAAATAAAATGAAATCCAAGTTTTAAAAGGTCATAATAAAATGGAAAGCAATCACAAACTGTTTTTTAACAGATGCCTGTCTTAATTAAAAAAAAAAATCTAAAGAAAAGTGATGTTCAGTACTGTAGGCTAGTACAAAATTACCCTGTAACTGAACTGTATTTCAAAAATACCTGTATCTTGTATATATTGAAATAGGCCTGTTCGTAGATCATCTGAAGTATGTTCTGTTTTAGAAACCTGATTCTTCTCCGTTAAAAACTGTACTGGATATTTTTGATTGGCCATTTGTCCTTCTATCTTGTCTTCTTGAACAAGGTAACTTTGCAGAAGTTCATTAAGAAGAACTAAGCAGTTCAAATGTTCCTGACCCCAAAAAACCTTATAATGAGAAAAACATAGTTAGCAACTTAAAAAAGATTTAAGCACTTTATATCCAGTTCTTTCAAGGTAGCTTGTTAGAAAGCTTATTCTAGGACTTTTCTAGGTTTATCAGAGAAACAAGTTCATGGATCATGAAGGGTTTAGAAATTCAGATCCTGGTCCTGAAAGCAGAAGATATTTATAGCAGCAACCATTTTTAATTGCAAAAATCTTGAAGCAGGATTTCTTCTAAGTAAAGAGAAAAATTATTATAAGATCTCTTAATAGTGGCATGCAGAAAATCTTTTTTTTTTTGTAGATAACTAATTTTATACCACCTAGATACTTTAACATGTCCTTTCTCAATCTTGTTTTCTATAGGTGAGTTGGATTTCAACTCAGGTATCTCCCAGTCAGTCTGGGGATTAGCCATGCTGGCTGGAGGATTATGGGATTATGTGCTTTTAACAACACTATGCATCTATTTTGGTAAGCAAACTGGGAAAGGAAGACATAGGAACACCACAATCTATCACAAAAACTACTGCTTAACAGTAGTTCAAGTTATTTCCTCAAGTTCTTTCTTCATTTCTCTCCCAAGCCAGATTTCTCAGCTCAATAAGTCATATGGCATAGAGTGTTTACATACAGCTATAGTTAAGTAATGATACAAAGTGCTAATCCTATGGGTTTATACCTTTCAGCCAGCCCGTCACTCTGCAGCTAACTTTAGAAGAAAGAGCTGCGGGCTGAGCTGTGTAATGAAATGTCAGAGACCAGAAGGTTCTGCTCTTCAATGGAAAGGCTCCTTCCCTGGGGTGGCAAATTTACCAACAGCCAGTTTTTGAGTTTTTTGGAGGAAAAATGTCTGGAACTGAGACTATGGCATCAAGCAGCAGAAAAGACTGCAGTAAGTATCTCCACCTACTATTAATATATTCTTTTTTGTGAACTGTAATTGCAAACAATTGTAGGAGTCTATCTTGGCTAAAGCTAGAATATAAACACAGTAATAGACAGAACACGCTACCGGTGTCTGGTCATCTGCCATATAACTATTTTCTGGTCAAGTTATCGGAGGTTATTACGTAGAAGGGATATGAAGTTACATATAATAAGCAACACTGTGAAGTGATTTCCTTTTAATGTTTTCAATACTGCCTATCTCTAAGACTGAAATATACTTAGAGCTGTACGAAAAAATGATACAGGCATAATATATTCTATCCAGAAAAGGATCTTGTTAGTACACCATACTGTATAACATTTCTAAGGCACATAGAGAACTGTATGTCATTTCCACATATTAAAATAAAAATACACATGGTCTAAGATTTCCTTAAATCTGAAGAATTTTCTCTAACTCTGATCAACTTTCTACTGTCCATGCCCATTCTCTCCACAATTGTAGCTAATCTTTCTGCATACAGACCTGGATCAGTCCACCTCTCATATCAACACAGACTTTTGGAGTAGCCAGTTCAGGACCAGGATTCCCGCTATGTTTGCACCATTTAGCTTCTATTGTGACAGAGCAGCACATAGGTCCAACCAGAGTTCTGCTTTTCTCCTGAAGACTTGTTTTTATAAGGAAATCACTGATGTCAAGTGTGAGTGATGATTTATTTATTATACCTAAAGTACACATGGAAAAAATACCATTAGGATTAATAGTGCATACAGATATATTTTGTATTTCCTTTCCAAGAAATAAAGTATATACTTTTAAAGGGATAACTTATATAAGTACCTACAAATCATTTATAGTCAGCACTTTTACAACTGAAACATCACTATTGATTTTTTTCTCCAGTCAATTATAATGTTTTCATATAAAAACATTAACTCATATATTATTATGTAAAAAGGGAATTCTTTTAATAAATTCCATTATTTTTTTTATAATAAAGAGATAGTTGTTCATGGAATATAGCAAATAATTTGGCAAAATGTGAATTACTGTTTTACAAACCATTAAAATGAATTTAAATGGCTATTTTGTCTATCAAGTTATTACCATGCTGAACACAACTATAGGATGAGAGAATAACAAAAGAATCAGAGACAAAATATGAGAGTGCAAATAAGAGAAAAAACTATTTGAATGGGAGAGGAAATCACAAATGGGAACAAAGAAGGAACAAAAAGCACATTTTCTAATAATGCTTAAACAACATTTTAATTGGCTACATTTCTTAAAAGAATTAATAGCAAGAATCCTTTCTCCTTTTAGAGTGTTCAATTTCCAGTTTTTTTTCAGAAAAAAAAATAAAATTGAATAGAATACAAACAAGGAGTCCTAGAGCTATTTGAGTAGGGTAATTCAAAAGGCTGATCAGATTAGAAGAAAATCAACAAGAAAGACCTTGATGCACTACATTAAGATAAATGTATTTACTTATTTTTTAAACATACTTCTATGCACCACAATCAGAACGACTCCTGGCATCTTGCAACAAGGCAGAAGCCATTTCTTGCTAAGAACATTGATGCTCAACTCAAGCTTGCAAAAATCACTAGATTACCCTTCTAGAGGAATGTTCTATATTCAGATGAGTCAAAAGTGGAAGTTCTCCAGCTACATGGATATGAGAGGAAGTTTTCCCATGGTAGAAAGCAACGAGCCTAATAGTAGATCAGTCAATTAACAAAAACAAGAAACTGTTAAAACTATATCTCTCATCCAAAAGAGGATGGTTTATAGACTTCTGCATTCTGAGTATGAAAGACAAATCAATATTTGAACATTGAGTTCATTATAAATTGAGTTCACATTAGATATACAGCATATGATAAATGTAATATATAGAAAAAATGTAATATATAGAATATAAATATAGAATAAATGTAAAATGTCAATAGACAAGAATGTAAAATTATAATGACATCATAATTATCAAATTAAAAAAAGGAAACTGTTGTGTTTCAAACGTACTCTGAAGCTGCAAGCAGTATAGATCTATAGAATAAGCCTATGACAGCTAAGTAGAGTTCCTTAGTAGTATTGAATATCTGGACTCAGAATATAATTGCTGTTCAAACCGTATAAATGGTTAATTATATGAGTTTGATATGCAGTTTTTCCATTAGAGTGTAATCTCATATTTTTATGCCAATACAAAAAAGCAGGGCATCCTGTGAATTCCACTGTACTGATATTCCAAGCCTTGTTATTACTAGTAAATTAATTAGTACATTCTATGTAATATTTTCCAATAACAGCAATTATATTCTGGGTCCATATATACTTGACTTGATAGTAGTACTATATACTTGATAGTAGTATATTCAATACTACTAAGGAACTCTACTTAGCTGTCATAGGCTCATTCTATAGATCTATACTGCTTGCAGCTTCAGAGAGAAAGACTTACAGATGGGTAGGGTAGAGTCTGGTATGTCTTCTTATGAGGAAACAGGTACATTTGTACATATTTAGACTTTTAAGTTTTGACTAAGATGGCTTCAACTGACTAGCATTGCCAAATTATCCTCTCTAGAGGTTTGGTAGTCCATATTTGCTTCTTAAACTATCCCTCAGTAAGAACTAATATAGTCTTCTGAAAAACACGTTTGGCCTTGAGAGGGCTGTTTTTTATTAACCTTTCAAAGTCAGTTAGTTTTCTGTGTTGCTTCCAAGCTGTGGAATGTACTCCATTGGGAGCTGTGCTTAGACCCCACTCTTAATGTTTTTTTAAAAGGAGACAAAACCATCCTTTTTATATAGGCTATTTATGTTTAATTTTTTAAAATAATTTTTAACTATCTTGCATGTCATGTTGGTAAAAACAAAGGATATAAATGGAAATAATAGGAACAGTACAATAAGGTATCATCTCATTGAAACAATTTATATAATCTAACTGGTGTTTAATTAATTATATTCAATTATATATAATTTGTCCTAGAATTGTTAATAAGTAATGTTTGCTACTCTCTTTAAAAAAAGTTGCAAAATGCACATAGCTTATGACCAAATTCTTGAAATGGTTGAATTTATTTAGATTAAATTGACAATATGCAAGAATCAGGATGCTGAGGTACCAGAATTGCTAAGCAACTGAGTACAAAAGAAGCATGTAGGAAGGAATTCTGAATATCTTGATCCAACAAGATGGTTAATAATGGAAGGCTTTGTGTATTGCATTATAAATTATGCTGGTCTATGACCATAATAAAGATTA